TTCGGCGGGAAAGTTTGTAACCTTTTCGTGCTTGTCCGTCGCCATTGTTAGATCTTCACGTTTTCACGCTATTCCGAATTGAACACCCGGAAATTTCTCCGCAGAAATTTAGCCCAGCCGAAGAAAAATCAAAAGTCCAACGGTCTTGACCGTGAAAAACGTGTTAACAAAAACGCTGCCGACGTAGCCAAAAACTCCGCCAAAACGCTGTACAACCACCCCAGGCCTACGCCAAATATATTGGGGGCTGAATGACCTTCGGCTTCTAGACAATGAAGGTCAACTGGTAAAATTAGCAGTCTCCCCGCCAAAACTCCGTATGCTGGTGATCACGTGAAGGAATGGAAGGTTCCGGAATCTTCGAAGTCAATGCGCAATCGAAGGTAATCGATTGCTTGCTAAAATAATGGGTATTTCTTTATGTTTCTACCTTTTGCCGGATAAAATCCACAAGGATTGAAGTAAATGTGACGTTTGTATAAGCCGTGATGAACACATGCAAGAGGTGAAAGGTAGAACGTATTCTGGGCTGACCGGCAGGAAATCTGTGGCAGAGAATAGTTTTTCGCTACGCATTAAAAATGGTAAATTCACTGTAAGTCTATAAGGAATCACGACAAATGGGATGTTGGTAAAAATCGTGCCACATCCCGGTGAACACATACATGAGGTGAAAAGGTGGACATATTCTGCTAGTTGACCTTCAGTGCAATCTCGAAAAGACACGCGTGGTTGGCCATGGGCAATGAGTCATGTGAGATGGTGTAGCCGAATGAGTGCACTGTCAACGCGGGCTTTGAACTCTACCAGCGTGTGGGTGCAGATGACAGATTCTGGTAGGGCATTCCACCCTTAGCAAATGCTTACGGAAAAGAAATTTCTATGGCATTCCAAACGATTGTACTGTTCTGTCAACTCGAGATATTGGCCCCCTTAGATTACTGTTGTGACTGAACTCTAACAAATGACAGCACATGTAGTTGGGATCCCCCAAAATCTGCTAAATGAAAATGGGGTACACACACCATCGTCCACTGAAGGCCCCTTGCACTGCAATCTTTGTTCGTACGGCAGATGACACAAGACTTTAACATTCTTAGTTGCCCGGGGTTGGGGTATCGCCAAAGCGGTGTGATCTCTCCTCAACTTTGGCTGCCAGATCACCATTACTCATTCCACGTGTGGACGTATGTATGCACCTAGAAGTTGCTGAAAAATTAATGTGTTGAATCGCCCGAATGCATGACGCAGAATCCCCATGTTCTGAATGTGCCTTTTTGACGCCTTCTCAGCCTGATCCGAACAGCCAACGTCGGTCTGAATCAGAACATCCAGATCCTTTTCGCTTGAAGACATTTGAAGATCCCAAATCCCTAGTTTATCGTTGTGCGCTAGTTGAGGCCCAAAGTGCAATACTCTACATTCTTCCGCAATGAACCAAAGTATTTTGAATAAATAAATCAAGTTTATTCTCGACTATGCGGTTCACGTTTCTTTGACTGGCTATCCGTTAAATCTATCCAGACCGACTTGAAGCCATGTTGGATTATCTGACATATTGATCGCTCCCCATACTTTGATGCCATTGGCACAGAGTAGGTAGCCCGAGATTGTGAGGTGTTTAATATCAGTGATCTGCATCAAGAACAACCGCCGTCCCATTGTCGATCACTGTGGTACTCTACATTCGACTTGGGCGGGATCTGATAGGGATCCGCGCACTTTTACCTCCAAGCGCCGGTGTAGAAGAAAGCTTCAGATCCACCCTGAGAAGATCACCAGTACCGAAACTCCGGAGTTTGCAAAGAGCGATGCGATGGTCTAACCAGTTGGATATCTTTGAGAAGTCGAGATACACAACAACTGTACTGGTGTATACTACTTCGGTTCAGCTGGATCGTGCTACCAGTAGTTAGTTTATCTAACGGTACATACGTCATCCGGCTAGTAGTAAACTTGAGGGGATTCAGCTCATTTTAGTTACCTAACTCCTGCCCAAATGCCGAATCGGCGTAGACCATCTACGTTGAATCACGTCTCCGTGATGAAAATCTTTACACATATGTACGGACGTCTGGGGACATCCGTTTCAGGATTCACCTGTCAATATGACCACGAACAGCCACCCCGATACGACATCTGCGAAGCGCTCGTAGATGGATTGCGCCGCACCATTTGCAACCACCAATTGTAAGTTCGGATGAACAATTTCTCATAGGCAAGCACCGACTGGCGGAACCAACATTGGCTGTGATTAACACTCCACATACACAGGCGGTCAATGGTACTTCAACTGGTAAGATCTGCCGTTAATGGTGATAGTCCTTCTACCCACGCACTTGCACAGACTATATTTCGCCTATATTCCCGTCTCTTGGTATTCTCTTAAATGGTTGTGTTCTATCGACACCTCGCGACTGCTTCTACTTCCTAATGGTAGTGATAACACGAACGATGAGGGGAAGGATTCAAAGGTTCCTTTAAATAGGGAAACCACTTCGTCACGTAGCATGACGCACAGGCGTGAAAGCCAACCAAAGGACGGAAAGCGTGCGAACAAGTAGAGTCAAAAGCGAATGAACAAATAAGAACCAATCAGGCACAGACAAAAACGGAAAGTGAGAGTGTTAGCGTCAGAATAAGGCTGTGAACTGAAGGCAAAAATAACGACTCCAAACAGCCAATGGGAATAATGAAATTATACGTTAAAACAATCATCAGTGAATCACCGGAGTAAAAAGCAAATGCAGTCATGATCGGTAACACAAGCATACCTGTATTTTTATTGCTCATCTAACACTAAGATCTAATAATTCACCTCGTCACCATCATTCGACACGTTAGGTTGAGGCGAGACATATTTCCGTCTTTTTGATGGTAGGGTTCACTTATGTAAGTCAGGTGACCCAAATGAGGAAAGCTATCGGCATGTTTCAGCGGCTGCTCTATGGTAGAGGTAAGTGGTCATGCGGAAGCCGGGGCTGAAACAGTGTTGAAGGGGCACAGCTCATACCTCATTCTGCAACAGTTTGCACGCATGTGACTTGACCCCTACCACAAGAACTTGAGCCATTCGCTGCTGATGATGTGACGATGTTGGTATCATTCGTAAACCTTTCGGTTGCGAATATAAATTCAAATGTTTGACCCATCCCATTTGTCATGATACTCTTGGGAACTAGCTTCCTGTGGACCCGCGCGTAATCATTGGAATTGCGGTAGCATATTTCCAAGTTAGATAAGCCTTACTAGCACATCTACCATTAATCGCCAGCTGTCGATTAAATTGAAGGTTTTCTAAGTCGTGAAAACGATAAGGTCACCTCTGCTCGCTGATCACTATCCAGCTGATTTCAGACGGGCTTCTTCGGTAACAAACCTGGACATGCGGACAGCATGAAGCTGTTGAATGTTTAGGGCAACCGATAAGCCAACCATGACCCTACCTTCGCACAGTGGTGAACCAATGCCACTCACTTATTTTATCTCCAGTAATATGTTGCATTAGGAGTAAAAAGATTCAATTTTAGAGATGATTCGTCGCGGCCAGTTCCCAGTCTGACGGTCTCATACACATGCGGACTAGAGATGGACGACCGTTTAGCTTTATTGAAACTCGCCAGCAGTGCACTTTCCCCTGACTACCCCGGGAGACGAATTCACGACCCACATGTTTGTAATTCAGTGAGGTATGCAAGTAAGCCACGTGATACGGAGGTGGCGCGCCAAAACTGAGTACTAGCGTAGATATATCGCAGCTCATCCTGCAGTGTCATGAATGTTATGAGTCTCTAGAACAAAAGACCGTCTGGTGAGCAATTGCTTTCAATGATTCATCATCAGACCATTACTATCATATGGAGACTAGAAAGAGAAATCGACCCAGTTAGTTCAAAACGACTTGATCACGTGAAGGTCTATGTCAGAGTTGAGAAAACGAATTAGGTCTTAGAGGGCTAGTTGTTTGCTACCGCATCTGACCGAAGACAGTCGACCTGGGCGTCTTCCCTTTTCGCTGGCTAGGGAAGCTGGAGAACCTGGACCGGCTTCTTCTGTGAGCATAAGGACGGCTGAAACAATCGAATGCATATTGCTTCAGCTGTCACAAGCGTACGAAGGCGGTAACCTTTCTTTCGGTGCGGTGGAACTTTGTAAACTATTCGGAAAGCGCGTTTGCTATCCACCTCATGGCCGGTGTCCACGATGTGAGCCAGAATGGCGCTACTAATGGTCCGCGCAGCCAACGAGGGCAATGTTCGTTCACGCGTTTCGATAACTGCCGCGCCGTTCGACCAATATACGTCGCGCCACAGGCGCACATGAATTGATAAGTTACCATTGATGTGGTCAGCATTGGCAGCTTGTCCTTGTTTTGTGAACGAATGAGTGGTTCCGTTGAGAACACGCACTTCAACGAGGCTGCTGGAAAGGTCGAATTTGCCGCGGCCGAAAGAATTCTGGGTAGACGCTCGGTAGCCGCGTCCCCTTAGAATGGTAAGCGAATAAATAACTCTTTCTTTGGTGCTGTTAACACTGGCACTTGTCTGGGTTTTTCTTGGAAGTTCCTTAAGATAAATCTATCGGGATAACCGTTTTCACGTAGAGTATTCTGTATGAACATTAACTCCGCATCTAGGGTGTCTTCCGTACAGATTCGACGCGCTCTTGATGTAAGACAGTGAACCAAGTTGCGCTTGTATCTCATGGGAACGAAACTGTAAAAGTTCGTGTACTGACCTATCCACCTTGTTTTTCTGTAGACCTGACGCTGGATGTATTCGACTGGTCTCCTAGTTAACAAGAAATCGAGATAAGGTAGCCCATTATCGCTTTCCTTCTCGTAAGTAAACTGCACTGCTGCATACACTCGGTTGAAGTAGTCAGGAATTTCATCCAGATTAACATGTTTATCCACCACAACAAATATATCGTCCATGTATCGATGATAGCAGTCAAAAAGGTCTATCGCCGCCCGCATTTAGGTTCTTTCTAGCTTTTGCATGAAGTTATCCGCCAATAGCGGTCCGAGGGGGGATCCCATGGCCACGCCGTCCTTCTGCCGATGGTATTTCCCGTTGAATAGAAACCGCACATTCCAGGTGCAGCGTGACAGTAGGCCGTTGAGATCATACGTAGGTATGCACACTTTTATTCCTGACTCGGCTGTATAGTCGCAAACGTAATAGACCGTCCCAACCAGTGGGACATTTGTAAAAAGTGAGACGACATCGAAAGATAACCTTAATTTCTCGTTGATGTTATCATCCTTGATGCTTTCGACGAAATGGAAGCTGTCACGAAGGCTGTAGGTAGCGAGCTGTTGTCGCACAGGTTCAAGAACTTCTACAAGCCACTGAGCAACGGCATAATACGGTGAGTTGACCATTGATAAATAGGACGAAGCGGGATTTTGGGTTTGTGGATTTTTGGTAACCCGTAAAGTCTTGGGGCGCTTGTGCCCCTCGGTTTAAGGCTGTCATACAGAGCATCTGAAATGTACCCCTTGGCCCGGAGTTCTTACAAGCTCTTAGTTATCTGTGTTTCAACTTGTTCAGCTCGGTCTCTTTCTCAGTCAATGCACGCAAACTTTGTCTCATCGCTCAGTATTGCTGCTAGTTTATCTATGCAGAGGACAAGGCTGACCCTCAGAGTCACGACTTAAATTCTAAACGAAAGGGTATTTGAAGTGGCAGTTTAGCCATTCATGTGGGTGCCGAATAACGAATAATATTTTTTTAGTATCTTGGCATAGTTTTGCTGACGGTTCTTTGCTTATGGTTGTCTGGCTTGGAACAGATGTTCTCCAAAATTGCATTATACACATTATGCTACTCTTCAAACTGGTGCCATTTTAGCCCAATCTGTTTAAACACATTTCGAAATGAACGGCCAGAAGGTGGACTTCCGATAAATGAAGCAATAACATAGACTATCCATCCAATTATTTCGGCATTTACAGTCGCGCTCTAGCGATAACGTCACTCTATTGTGCTCCACTCTCCTTGACCTGATTTCAGGGGGGTTGTTTTCCTTCCTTCCTTTCAAGTTCGTCACTGAACCATCTCGATATCTCTCATGAGTGGGCACTATTTTGATGCATGTACGCTGAGGTAGGCTATGAGCCATCATGAAGAATAACTGTTGTGCTCAACATGAGATATACAACCACGCCAAACAGTTCCCTCACCTACTTCGATGTTTTTGCTGGATACTTCCAATGTTCCGCAAACACTAGTAAGAAATAATAAAGTAACACTTGGCAACTTGTCATGTTTATAGTCTATAAAACATTAACTTGAACTGTAGTAATGCCATAGTAATTATGCTTGAGCAAGTGAGTCATGACCATTAGTACTTTCAAATACAGCCCATTGTTTTGATGTACACATTGACACTGCACTTTTCGGTTGACCATATCTAAGCAGTGAGGTGAAGTAGACATAGTAAATATATCCATACGATTTTTCATAACTTTAAGTGGACAAAAAGGCTCATAACTGTCAGTTGAACGGTGTAACATCATAGGAGTCGCGAAAAAACCTATTACTGTTTGGCAACGAGCATCCATTTTATTAATTAGACCCGACCGCTAAGAGTTTCACTTGTCCAAGAACGCCTTCCTGGAGGTTGCGTGGCGATCTCTTATTCGGGGGTTTGTGAAACTCTACTTCTGTATTTCTTTTACAGCACATCTATATATGGATCCAAAGTTCCTTATCTTGTAACGACTTCGGTTTGCTTCGTTGTCTACTCGTTACCGTGCGGTTTGCTTATTTCTCATGTTACTCACTCCCAGCATAGTAGTGCCTACACTTACATCATCACGGCCTGTGGCGACGCCACGCGTGACGCTGCAGCTGTGGTGCGTCATCACCGCAGGTGGTATATCCCCTAAAAATTGAGTGGGCATTGATCTTTTCACCTGCAGTACCATGTGATAAACGGGGTCTGCTCGGTCTAGATAGGAATTTTACCACACTGGTTGTTCACAAGATACCACCTCGCTTAATGGATCTAAGAGATCAATCCGGTAGGATAAGTGAACAGGCCTCACGGCAGATCTAGACACGAAAAGTGACTCCATTGTGAAATGAGCCATACCACGGCCGCGCCTCCTCTACGCTACTTGCCACGCATGTCTGCCTGACCTTCACCGCATTACTATTTGCGGTAAGGGAGTGTGCACGGCTCCGAATCAATCGTGGCTGCCATCTACATACTTCTCAATTCCATTCCTTCGGAGTTGCGCTCGTCTTTAAGCATAAGTACTTGACTGGGTGTGTGTCATTTGATTTGCCTCGAAATAGGTAGGCGTCCTGTGGCTCTTTGTAAACAACTCTCAATAGAATCCACTCAAATCTCTGTCGTCAACGGTGCGCAAATTACAGGACACACGTAACACCCACTTGTCCCATCTGGAACACAAGGTAAATCTTCGCAGCGCAATTTATTCACAAATGTAATGGGGTGTTAAAGTCCGCATTTACACGAATTGTCTGAAAATATATATATAAACAAGGGTTCACTAAAAGTCAATCATATAACTATCGATTGACACGGAACATCTGCACAAAATCAAAAAGATCATTGAATTTTGCATTCACAAATAACTTGAGTGGGGAACAAATAAATTCCTAACCGTGGGTGTACTGATGCACACGGTCTGTCTCCTGGGTAGAGTAACACTGTGGGGAGGGAAAAATGGGTTCCGCATTTTTGGGACTGCTCGCTTTGGTGTCCGGCTGAACAGGTCTAATTTGGATGTGGTTGCTTTGCTGATCAGGATACTGAAACAGAGAAATCAGCTAACTATTACAATTACGTATATGGCAAATGCTATCGGCAAGGTGAACGAGGTGGTACGAAAACCGCGTGGCTCTTTTATTTGCATACGAATGAAGGATTGATTCGAGGCGTGTTAGCGCATGACTGATGTTTACGCCCAAGTGATACTTCGATAAGTCCTTAACGCTTCCACAGCACTCTTCCACTACCAGATTTTGGACAGTGCCAATTGTCTTGGAAACAAAGTGTACAGGGTTCTATTAAACTGGTTAGGTTCAAGAACAAATTAAACAATGATTTATCACGGTTGAGAAAACAAGTGCTTAACAAGTCCATAATCCGAAGTACGTGAACCATCATCTAAGCGTTGTTACTTTAGCTGCGTTGTCGCATAAGGATATGGTGCATTGGGAAATGAATGCAATCACGCACACAAAACTAT